AAACTGAAAGTGGTTTCAGCAGACGCCTCCAATTCAGGCTGGGGCGCCCTCTACAAGGGCAGACCGACTTTTGGCCTGTGGTCAAGCCAAGAAAAGAGCTTGCACATAAACTGTCTAGAGATGACGGCGGTTGAGAACGCTTTACGGTTCTTTCTTCCCTTTCTAAAGGGCCACCATGTCCTTGTCCGCACGGACAACATGTCGGTGGTTTCCTACATAAATCGCCAAGGCGGTCTGAGATCACAAAACCCTCAAGAGGGGGGAGAGAGCAGGAGAGAGCAGGATGAGCAGGAGAAAGAGGAAGCCTGGAAAGCTCACTAAGTTTATGAAATTACTTCACAATATGTATACATTATTGAAGACTCATTTGCAGTGCTTTCTCCTTTTGCTCTCGGCTATGCAGTTACTGTAGTTCGCCACGGGAGGGAGACACACGGACACGTTTCAGAAAAAGCTTCACAAATCCTGGCAATGAGCAAATTCGAAGCATTGAGATGCAGCCGTCTTCTAATACTATTTTTTTCACCAAAATAAAACGAAATAAATAACTGTATGTGAAAAGAAAACTCACATGATGGTGAAAACAATATAGCTGCTCTAAAGTTATATACAGTATATAGGCGGTCTGAATACAGTCCATGTAAATAAAAAAGTTACATGTTAAGCAAAACACGTTCCAGTCTGAGTTCACCCACTAGTACAACTGATCCAGCCTCTATGATGAAAGGGCAGCAAATATTATATATCATATATTTTTCGTTTTCGTCACCATACACGTCCAACAGCAACTTCTCCAAAGAGGCTGGAGACAATCACCACTGCCAGCAGAAAATATGTAAGGCGTATAAAATATGTAAGTATTGATGTCAATAAAGACGATGGACTTGAAATATTGACGACTAATAACTTTTATTGAGCAGAGTGTTAGAATTGGGGAGTAGAGCAACACTAAACTCATGGTCGTCGGAATCATTGTGTGTGTGTGGAACTGGAACAAGACCCACACACTTTAAGACCAATGATATTGGACCCACTCACTTTTACTGTCTCTAATTCAGAGTTTAGTTTACTTATAAAAGGCACCAGAAATTTCTGTTCTGACGGAAATAATCATATCCCATTTGGAAAAGACCTTAGAAAATCTCAACAACTGCATGATCTGAGGACCTGCATCATTCATGTCTGGAGCACAAGACCATTTATAGACTGAAGATTAATACTTTGGGTTGACAATTTGATTAAGTCATATTTCCTTTATTTTGAAGCACTTGTGTAAAAGATGTAGTATATCTTACAGATTCATCTGCTACAATGTCGAACAGTAACCGAGAGAAGAGAAACAGAGAGTCTGATCAGTCCAAACAGCAACATGCACATGTCAACAGGTAATACATGTCAAAGTCATAATACATATTTAACACAACAGATTTGATTCTTAACATGTTCATTTCATTTATTTGATTTTTTTTTTTAACCCTCAGGTGCTCTTCGGTCATTTCTGACCGAAAGATTTTCTGTTTTGAAATGTTAAAAATCACAGCTCCATCGGAATGTTACGAAACTTGATGACTTTTATGGCATTGTGTATGTGAACACACACAAAAATTGAGGTCATGATCTGAGCAGGCTAAGTGTTCGTAAAAAAATAGTCACACTTCTGGTCTTCGGTCAAAAATGACCGACCATAGGAAACAAATGGGAAATTGACAAACATAAAAACTTTGAGAATTTTTGTGTGTACAATCTACAAATCGGCCACAATTCTAAAAAAAAGTACACCACAGGAAAGGGGTGACACTCTACAACAACTAGAGTGCAAAACAGACATACCCACCAACACACACACTCATACAAACACACTTTTATACACATACACAACAATAAATTTTGATTACAAAAAGTATGTTTTGAATTTTTAAAAATCACAGCTTCATCGCAATGTTACGAAACTTGGTGACTTTTATGGCATTATGTATGTGAACATAGAAAAAAATTGAGGTCATGATCTGAGCATGCTAAGTGGTCTTGCGCCTAGTCACACTTGTGGTCTTTGGTCAAAAATGACCCCCATAGGAAATGAATGGGAAATGGTAAAAAAATGAAACAAAAAATTGTGCATTTATTTTTTTTGTCAATTTTTTTTTTATAAGAAATAGTTTTTGAGATTGTTTCAACTATGTATTCAAATCCACCCCCCCCCCCCCAAAAAAAAAAAAAAAAAATATATATATATATATGTTCATAAACATCTGGGGAATTCACATGCTTCTCCATAGAGAGCTGTACATGCCATCGAGTGGTTACGCCATGATTCTACGCTTTTTCTCTATACTGTAACCAGATGGTGCTAATTTTCTTCAAGAAATATATATATTTTTTTTTTCTGAAGGCCTAGACTCTATATTGAACTAAAATACTGCATTAATATTTTTTTGAAAAAAATAATATATATATATATATATATATATATATATATATATATTTACATATACATATATTTTCCATGGCAAAAAATAAACCATAAATATTGCATAAATATTAATAAATTCAATTAAATTGTCTCAAAATACTAAATTAAAAAGAATAAATATTATAGAACAGAAATAAATTGCATTGGTTTTACTGGGATGGAGAAAGTTTCATTTTTAGGTGTCCGGTCACTTTTGACCGGGAAGATAACAAGTGTGACTCCGAAACGAAGAGCACCTGAGGGTTAAATGGTCCAAAATTAAAAAGTATGAGAGAAAAGTATACTGAAGTAGCGGCTCCTCCAAGAATCGTTGAGACTCAGAACGCTGACTGTTCATTATGTCACATAAATGAAATGTAATGCTACTGGTCTTGGAAGAAAGAAAAAAAAAGTTACAAGCTTAAAAAAAAAACTTTAAAAATTCTCAAAAAAGAGATAGAAAACTGATATGTTAATGAAAAAAAAAATCTGATTTAAAAATGTTGAATCAATTATTTCTTTTGTAGATCACGTCATGATGCCACACTGATGAATCCAGGTCCTCCAGCGCTTTATCGTCTGAACACTGAAAGAAAATGCATTTGTGGGACTGATAAAAAGGTCAGACAGTGGACATATGGAAGAAGAGACAGAAACAAGCAGAATAAAGTCATCCTGATGGTGGGAGAAACCGGCACTGGGAAAACCACCATGATCAACACCATGATCAACTACATACTGGGAGTGAAGTTTGAGGATCAAGAGTTTTATCAAATCACACAAGAAGATGAACATAAAGATCAGTCACAATCCCAGACCTCTGAGATCACGGTTTATGAGGCGTTTGTTGAAGAAAACCCAACATCTCTGACCATCATTGACACTCCAGGATACGGGGACACTGAAGGATTCGAGAGAGATGAAGAGATTTCTAAATATCTGACCAAATTATTTTCAGATAAGGATGGGATCCATTACATTGATGCAGTGTGTTTTGTGATGAAGGCGTCTCAGAATCGTCTCTCTGACAGACAGCTTTACATATTTCAATCAGTTCTGTCTCTGTTTGGTAAAGATATAGAGGAGAACATCGTGTTTCTACTCACACACTCAGATGGAGGACCTCCTACAGATGCTCTCAATGCCATTAAGAAAGCAGAAATACCCTGCAGAAGAGATGAAGACAATGAACCTGTTCACTTCTTATTCAACAACCGACAGAAACAGAAAAGGGACAAAAAGTATAATCAAGGTTTGAGATCAGCCTGGGGAATGGGAGAAGAAAGCATGAATGAGTTATTAACACTCATGGATGTAAAGAACAGAAAAAGTGTTGAGATGACTTTAGATGTTCTGAAGGAGCGAAGACGACTCGAGGCCTGTGTCTCTAATCTGAAGCAGAGAATAGAGGAGAAGTTACAAACTAAAGAACTGAATCATATTCAGGAAATCCTCAGACAGAACAGAGACAAGATCAAGAAAGGTGAAAACTTTGAGTTTACAGTCAAGAGAGATTTCAAAGTAAAAGTCCCCATTGTAAATGAGTGGCCGTGGAACAGAAACGCGACCTGCTGCTCCGACTGTCGGGCAAACTGTCATGAGTGGGGCTGTAATTGTGTCTCTCCCGATAATCTCTCACAGTGTTCAGTCATGAAAGACGATCACTGCACTGTGTGTTCAGGGAAATGTCATTACAGCAAACATGTCAGAGAGGACAAAAAATATGTGACGGAGACAAAGGATGTCATAATGACATTTAACAATCTCAAACAGGAGTATTGCAGTATCATGAAAGAGTCTGAGAATAAAATTGGAATAGAAGAACAGCTGATCAGAGATCTGGAGAAGACTAAAGAAGAAAAGTCCAAACTGTTGTATGAAGCTTATATGGCCATCGTGAGTCTGTCTAAGATCGCACTAAAAGCCGACAGCGCTTTCACTCTTCAATATCTGGATTTCCTGATTCCCAGACTGAAGGAGGAGGGAAAAGAGGAATGGATGAAGAAACTGCAGGATCTGAGGAAAGCTGGAGAAGAGAAGAAAAATAAAAGGGCTTTACAATATGTGTGGGGCCTTTTCAGTCGTGATAAAAAATAATAAATACAACAAATCTGAAAATACACGATGAAAGAGCAGAATAGATGTTATCAGTGAAAATGATTCTCAAAATTACTTTACGGGATCAAATGACTGAATATATGAAAAGTTCAATCAGGCATAATAGTTAGAACAAAAATGCTGAATGACTGTCATTTAAGTTTTATTTAGTCTCTGTTTTAGTAATTCTGGAATGAATTTTCTATGTCATGCACTATGTTTGCATTTTGTATGTGTTTGATTTTCCTTTATTATTGTAATTAAGGTGGTATTATAGTTGAACAGGTTTCTTGGTGAAACAGTCTTGTGTTTCTATCAGTGGCTGTGAATTCATTTTAGATCTAGTTTTACTCATGGAAAGGCCACTGTTCACCACAGTACTGTGTTTACATCCAGAGTTGTGAATTACATTTATGTGCAAATTTAAAGGAGTCATGAGATCAGTCTGCATAACCTGCAATTTTCACTTTTCCACGAGAATCAATGTATGTTATGATAGCAATTGTTCGGGAAGCCGATATTCAAAAGAGAAGCGTTTGTTTACCCCAGGGTTCGTAAACCAGCCCTTGTGCGTGCACGTGCACTCAAATACGAGATTACAATTTCTCCCCCGACTTCACGTCAAGACGGGGCAGGATATACCATATATTATGGGGGTGGGATTGTTCCATTATTCAAAATAAATAGATCATGATCCACAAATAAATGTAAAGAGTTTCACAAAAAAATATAAAACTCACAAATAAATAAAATGAGATTTGCAAATAAAACTATGTATTTACAAATGTTTTTTATTCCACAGACACAACTCTGCCAGGCATTTATTTGTGAACCGCTTTCTGTGCATTTGTAAATCCCCTCACGCGTTTGTGGATTTTGAAACACTTCTAGCATCAAGGTGCAGACAAATCCACAAATAAGTGGACTCCACCCACCGTTTCCTCAAGCCAATCAGATAATGGCTATGTTGAGCTGACCAATCATAGCACGTTCTCGCTACAACCAATCTTGTTAGGCTTTACACTCGGGGCGGGACATGAATGTGACTTATTTTGAAGATATTTGCACCCTTGTATATCTGGCGCTTCATTCAAATTGAGCTGTTTGTGTGGTTGCAACAACCCGTTTCCAAAAGGTTGCTGGAGTTTAAGGCTTTTTTATATTTCCATCGGGATTGCACACAAATTATGATCACCATCCCGAGCATAACACCCTCTACACCGGAATCAAGCGGTCAGAAGCAAATGGCCCATTATCTTCTCGGCTGCCGTGGCAGTTTCAATAATGTAATACTAACATGTTTGTAATGTTAACACATTTTGCCCATGACGTTTTCTTACCTGCAGATATATGACGTGTCTATGATCTTCCTTCTTGACTAGTGCTGGCTGCATGCATTATTCATTATTCGCGATAATGTAGCTATACACTGGACGCGGCGCAGATAATTCATTGATAGTAAACGGATGTCCGTTCGTCTTCTGAAGCAGCGGCTACACGGAGGACGCATCATTTGATGGTTTGCTTTGTCCAGTGTAATGTTAGACAGACTCTCACGGGGTAGACACAATGTTACATCTTTAATGATGGTCATATTTGGTACATAATAGTTATGTCCTGTCACTATTAAAAGACAAAATCATCCGTTTTGTCATTTCTTACATTGTGTCTACCCCGTGAAAGTCTGTCTAAGACTCTCATGTAACTCTGACTTTATCAGTCAAACTCTGATTTGACTCTCATGCTGTTTCAAGACGGGCGTCTTTTTGCTGTAAAGACAGGCACTTAGTGCAAATATGTGCACCGTTATAGAAAATGTAAAAAAAAAAAAAATGTTTTCTTACCTTAGCTTGGGCCCCAAGTGCACATGGCGAACTTCCAATAAATACATTTTATCAGACCGGCCCTCGCGGCCTCAAAACACAACCGGCCCACTGGGAAAACCCCTGACTCTCCCGATTGCCACTCCGCTACTGATCCGGGATGTCTATGTTTGTGGGAATTTGTTGGAATTGTGGAAGTGTTTGAATCTTTACATTATGCTTACAGTATTAGAGTTTAAGAGATATACTGTATGGTTATATACTGATTATTGTTTGCTTTTGTTTAGTAATGTATATTAGTGCTTGGAGAGGAATGATATGTTAGATTTATTCATTTGTAATTTGTTTCTCTCTTTATAGAAAACCACACACAAAATTAGGCTACACTCACCCTCAAACTCACTCACACAAGAAAGAGGAATAAAGAAACAATCAGAACTATTTCTCCGCTCTTTATTTCATACACTGGAACATTTGGCCTTAAGTGGTGCTCTGGCCGACACACTTGAGTGAACTTGGTGATAAACCCAGAACTAACACATAGACTGAGTGTTTACCTATTATCTTCACTATAGTTTTAAAATCCGAACAACTTCCCTGATACAAAACGCATTGTTGTCTAATGGTGAAAGTATGAATTAAACCAAAGTAAAGAAGATCTTGAAAGGCCAATATCATACAGTTTAGGCTATCTAAAAGAAGATAACGATCTACTAAATCAAAAGCTTTGGTTAAATCAATAAATAAGGCACTAGTTAAATTATTGGAATCAAAAGAAGATGTAATATCATTAGTATTTTTTAGGAGAGCACTTGTTGTAGAGAAATTTAGTTTCAGAAGCGGGCTGAAAAGGTGATATAATATTGGAATCATTCAAATATTTTAGTTATTGAAAGAAAATTATTTTTTCAAATATTTTCACCACGCTATTAATTTACGGAATATTACGGAGATCCCATGGGAGTATCACGAAGGAAGCCCTCTGCTTCCTCGGGGGAACGAAGAATGGTGACCTTACCATCCACAGTTACCCTCAGTGTTGCAGGATACTGTAACGAGTACTTGATTTCCAGCTCTCGGAGTTTCTTCTTAATGGGATCAAACTGACGGCGTTTCTCGAGAAAAGTAGCGCTGTAGTCTGGGTAGAAGTAAATACGCGTCCCCTGGTATTATAGATGCCATTTCTCCCCGGCAAGCCGGAGAATTTTCATCTTATCCTGAAAGTTCATGAGCTTTATCAGGATTGATCTTGCACCCGTTTTAAAGTTGAGATTACTTACAGTCTGAGTACGATCGATGTGCCCTTTCAGTCACTGGAGGCATTGGATAATTATCTGGGGATGAAGCCCAGTATGTCTGCTACTATCTTCTGGTACTCGCTCCTGTTCTCCATCTCCTCTGTTTTTTCTCTCAGGTGAGTGTTTTCCTTCTCTACGATTTCAATACGTTTTCCAGATCGGATATATTGTCTTCATTAGCGCTGACTCTTTGTTCCAATAGGGAGACTTGGTCTACAATAGTACACAGGGAGTCCTCAATTGTATTCAGACTCGATTGAAGTTTATCCATTTTACAATCAAGTGTGCAAGCAACTTGTTTTTCCAGACTGATCTCATGAAGTAGCGTGTGTATGCCACGCCAATTCGTATTTCCATTTTTGGCGTGCTATTAAGACGCGTAATCGCCTTTCAGCGTGTTTATGAACGCCGTTGACTTAACGCTATATAAATATATGACTTACCTCAACCCCGTCCCTAAACCTAACCGTCATTGGGGTTAATGGCATTTATGACTGGAGATTTGACGGCGTGTACGGACACGCGGAATGACGCGGACGTTAATGGCGTAGACATACGCGGATTCACGCGGATAGCTCAAAATGCGTAGAGATAACTCGCCACCTGACACGAAAGTGGCGTGTATGTTTACGCAAAAGTCATGATGTCATGTTGTGTTTTTCAGTTCTTGTATAACCTCAGTTATAGATTTGAGAAGTCAATGTAGCACAAACACAATAGAGCAAAACACACTTTTAGTTGTCAACTATTTATGTCTGTTTAATTATAGAGTTGTTTAAGAAATGTTATCCTTTGTTGGCAAATATGGAGATAGATGCAATGAGTCAATATATTAAAAAAATAGTTCATAATGCAGACTTGAGCATCAGCAAACACTCAGTTTGTCAGTGCGTCCATCTTGGATTAAGCAACATGAAATTGTATGTGAGCCTTATGTCATAAACACCTTGTGAAACTTTTAATTGGAACTAAGCATTTGTCTGTACAACATACTATTCCTATTTTACTTTACTTGTTTTTTTTAAGCCGATTGATTTGCATGTTGTTGTTTTTGAATAAGTGTAACTAATTAGATTGTTCAGTGTGTTTTTTTGCAGACTGTGGTTATTTTGTTTAGTTTCTCTTTCAGTGTGTCACGTGTTTTGCAGGAATCAGATCTTGGGTGCATTTAATTAAAACGACAAAGACTGTTGAAATGGATCAGTGTGTGTTTGGTTAAAGCTGCAGCTTTAATAGGCAGCCAATGAAATTAGTAGGAAATTACTAGTCATCCATTTTTATATCAGCTGCATTCCATTAATTATGCCTGGTGTACAACAACGGTCCTAGGACTGAGCCTTGTGGTACACCATACTGAACTTTTGACCGATAAGACAATTAAGCACCTAATTAAACATCTAAAGAAGCTAATGAAGCTCTTCAGGCTTACTAGAAACTTCCAGGCTGTTGTGATGGAGTTACTCTGCAGGACAGCAGATGTCCAAGAGCAGGATTGAACATCAAATGAACGTGTGAATTAACAGTCGGATGCAAAAATTTTATATTTTATTGTAATATGCAGGTTTCCAGCTATTGAAACCCTGGCAGAATCATGGCTGCAGGAATATATAATATAGCTTACAAATGAACACTGAAGATTAAATATGGACAGAGTTCTTCCCTAAATCTTGAACAATGAAACGCAATTATTATTATTATTTTTTTTTTTAGAAAATGTTTTGTGCTCATGCCTATTGTAAAAATGAATAAATATGAGTTATAGTAAGTGTCGTTGTGTCTGGTTGTGGTTTCAGCTCTTGTGGAAGAGGCGTGTCTTCAGATGTTTCCTGATGTTTTCTCAGATCAGGTGGATGTTGAGAACTTCAACCACCAGTTCCTGTCATTGTTTTTCTACTTTCAAGACCATGATTACAGGTTGTGTTTGTTCGTTAGACACGTATTAAATCTTTCTTGAAAAAAAATATTCTGAAAGTTTCTTACCACTAAATAAGTTTCTGACTTATTTAAGAAGAATATAAAAGCTTAATGTGATCATCCATCAACACCATTTCTACTTTCTGGCTTGACTTTTTTGAAGAAACAAAGAAAGGGAGGTAAAACTATGTAAGTACTTTGCATTTTACACCCTTTACAGAAAGTCACAGTTATTTGTAAAGTATTACCAGGACTGATTACACTGTCCAGACATCTGTGGATATTTTTATAATGATGCACTTTAGATCCCACAAACTTTAATCTCAGCTCAAGAGTCTTGCACATGCTATGAACTAGCATGAAAAACTTTCATAAATTTCAGTTATCAGATGCCCTTTATATATACTGCGCGCACACACACACACACACACACACACACTGGTGACCTTATCCAGCAGTGTCTCTGATCAGTGTTTGACATCATCCTTCAGTCCAGCGTGAGTCTTTCTTTCATTTACCAAAGTCTGAGTGTTTGTATTTATTTTATTTTTTTTATCTTTGCATTATGCATTCATTAAATGGAAATTATTCAATTTTTTCATACATTGATGATATTTACTGTACTTTATTTTAATGTCATTGACCAACCTGACCTTACAACAATTTGTAGGAATTCATAAATACATCACTCATATCTGTAATATTTGAGCTAAATCATAAGTATTTTACGAGTTGCCCAATCGTATGAATTATCCACCCGTACTTCGTGAGATAGTGTCGTCATCCACACAAGTGTACAAGGAGTGAACTTATTTTATTCATAGATCCTTGCAGGAATACAGAAACAACGAATGTGACATTCAACTTCACTAAATACACACACAGAATCATTATTTATCAATCAGACTATACACACACTGAGTTATATTATCACTTTACTTCTGTTTGCAGCAGTTACAGCAACAG